AAAAAAAAAAAAAAAAAGTTCACTTCTAATTTTTTGGATGGTAGGTCATGGAATCTTTCTTACAGTTGGTTTTGACTAGCAGGTGACTTTTAAATGTGTATTGGGGGCTTCATAAAGCACAGAGGGTGGCTTGGCATCGAGTTGCTTCTTGTTGCTAATTTACATAAATAGTTTACTTTGGTAGATTAATTCATCTTCTTGTAACTTTATATGAAGAAGAGCTGTACTTTAAACATTTTAGACTTCTGAGGACTGCGGTATAACTATCTCTTGAATTCATTTTCAGAATGAAGAGCTAGATAAGAAGTATGCTGGACTTCTGGAGAAAAAATGGACATCAGTTATAAGATTACAAAAGAAGGTAAGTGGACATTTGGTATTTATTATGTATTCAGTTGCAGTGCTATTTTACAGTGTTCAGTGGACTAAAATATTGGATAAGTGGTAGTCTCTCATCAAAGGTATAATTAGGCTTATTTAAATGCCCTCCCAGAGTTACTTTTGGAGGACAAAGCAGCAAAATTAGCAGTGTTTAACATGCAGAATATTTAGCCTTTGAAGGTTACACTAACTATCCACTTCATCTCCTTTAACCTCCTGCCAAAAAAACCAAACCAAAACAAAAAACCCCCCAACAACAACAAAGCCAAACTCATGTGGTTGATATTGAGGCCTGTCTTTGTCTTCTAGGTAGCTAATATGATTTGTAGAGTTGCTGGGAAGGAAAGTGTACTCAAAAGTGTTTTGCAAATGCAAAATCTGAATAGATCTTTTAAAGAGATGTGGGGAGAAGGCAGGAGCTATCCTGCTAGTTGTCTTTAACTGTTTGCTTGCAAATAAAAGGGCAAGTCTTGATGCATTAAAGCAAGTGGTTCTAATGCAGACACGGTAGAACACTGTGTAACAAGGCATCTGCAAGCTTAAAGTATATTACTAGCTCAAAGTTATGAAGTGTTAACAGCAAAAAGCATACCTGTTCTTACTAGTAAAATGTTCTAGGGTTGTGTGCAGACTCAATGATAGGTAAAGCTTGGGTTCTTATGGTCAGTGGCTCTTGGGCTACGAGAATATTTGTCTAGTAGCATCATTACCTCTGTCAATAGTTTGTCAAACTTCACAGTTGGCAACTTGCAGAGTTACTTCCTCTCAGTTTGAACTAATGAATCTCTGAATGGTGTAGGTAAATAAATGGCTTTGGGTGGCAGTTCCCTTCTCACCATTACATTTCTAGGGAAGAAAACTATTTTGTTGCAGCTGAACAAAATTCATTTTATAACTGGATCGGGAATGATCAGAGCTATTGGAAATCAATCATTTTCTTCTCAAATTTTCAGCAAGGAAAAACTTTTTATATCAATTCCAAAACCATTCAGTATTAGGTTTGCCTGTGAACAGTGCAAATGACTTGCAGCTTGATGTAAAAGTTTGCAGAAACAAGTGGTCTTTTTAAACCCCATAAACGTCAGGTTATGGAATTGGAATCCAAACTAAATGAAGCAAAGGAAGAATTCACATCAGGTGGACCTCTTGGTCAGAAACGAGACCCTAAAGAATGGATCCCTCGTCCTCCAGAGAAGTATGCATTGAGTGGACATAGGAGTCCTGTCACTCGAGTAATTTTCCATCCAGTTTTCAGTGTTATGGTCTCTGCTTCAGAGGATGCCACAATAAAGGTAAGTGCTTGCTCTAGAAAGTTATATTCAAATAGATCTGAGGTGAGGCTGTGTGCCTCTGTTCTGGTGGATGAAAACTAATGAAAGATTTTTAAGTAGTGTGGTGTGGGATAGAGAGGTACATGGTTGAATTACTGGTAATAACAATAGGGTACTGGATGAGACTGTCATATCTTTCCTAAGAGTGGTTACTTTGAAGACTGAGGTTAAATAAACCACACTCTCTTTAAGGATAATTCCTTCTTTCAAAGACTGATATATGAAATAAATATAATAATACAAGGTGATCTTTTAGCCATGTTTTCAACTAAGGTTGTTCTTGCAGTGTTTGTGGGGAAATGGACCATTGTATATAGAAACATACTATAAATCTTGAATATACCACTGAGAACTTGATAGAGCTTATTGCAGATGTTCACACCACTACACAGCATTGCTGTGGTAGGCAAGCATTTTGTCCATTTGCTTGCATCCTAATAATAAATCTTTAAGGTGGCTCGTTCATAGAATGAGTAGGCACATACACTTCCACTTGGCTGTTTCTTGTGAGGGCCTTTTTCTTGAATTTTTATTCAGTAATTATGCATGTAACTTGCTCATGAATGAATGAGGGCTGTCCTGGCATTCACACTGCTGTGGATTGGAAAGACTCCTACTGCCCTAAGTAGTTTGGATAACAAGTATTAATGGAAGAAATAAAAACTTAAGCGATTCAGATGTTGGGCAATATATTGTGGGTAAAACAACAGACAGCAGTGTGAGGCCGGTCTACAACAAGGTTTTAATTTGTTAGAGTTCACTTCCATAATAAATCAATTCACTGAAACGATGACTAGACATTCTTTTTCTTCAAACAGACTATATCAAATAAAACTGTGTAATGGCATTCTTGGATGCCTTTTTGTTAATGCTGTTAATGGAAAGTGTAATTAGCTTTTGTGTATTAAAACTTACTTTTCTATCAGAAAACATTTCCTCATGGAGCTGTTCTGGAATTGAAGTTTATGTAGCACTTCCTGATTTCCTCCCCCCTCACCAAACAACATTATGAGTAGTGCAGCAGATTACTGTGAATAGAAAAATACATTTGGACATTTCAGTATTATAAAGCAAGATTCCAGATTTGATCTTAACTTCTGAATTGTGATGAGGCCTGTAGCATTAAGGAGATTAACATCTGTATCAGCATTTCTTTCTTTTTTCTTTTTAATTTCAAAGTGAGCCAGGCTTTTGTTCATGGTTAGATGCTGGTAGAATGCTGATCTAATTAAGAGGTGAAAATTTAGTATTCACACTTTCTCCTCAAGGTTATTTAACCGCCAATGGATATTTAATACTTTTACTGCCTCTGGCTAACAACAAATACTGTTGGTTGAGATTTTAATTTTTAGAAAGTGACCACAGATTATTTTTGTCCCAAACTTTACACTTCTTGCATATTGCAGAAATCGCTACTTCTTTGGTAGGTAGAAAACTGACCAGTTGGCTCATAAGCAGCAATAGGTAACTGAAAGCACAACTGTGTTTGGGAAAGAGGAAGTTGTAAGGGAAGAATGTCATTTATTACAGGCTGGAGGCCAAGTCTTAAAATGGCCATTGGCAAGGATCTAAGGAAGTGGGTAGAAAAGCAGATTCCTGAAAAGGAACCTGCATGTGCATAGACTGGTGTCCTGAACTGCTATCCAATGTTACATTTAAAAGAAAAAAAAAACTATTTGGAGACTGTTCAGAATAACACAGAACTTTTTTCCTATTCCTATATCTCGTGTTGGTTGTTAATGGTAATTTTATTTTAAAACTTGGGTGGTTCACCTATGTAAATAGAATTGATTTTTAAAAATAACTAAATGATATGAAACATGCCACTCTTTTTCTGAGAGGCTTTACTATGATGGTTTCTTTGTCTCTTGCTCCATTAATTATTGAATAAGGTGCCAGACTGGCCTGCAGAGCGCAAATGTAAGGCTGGAGAATGTGAAGAGTAATAAGCTGATGCTAACAGATTTTCTGTTCACTTGTTAGGTGTGGGATTACGAGACAGGCGATTTTGAACGAACCCTTAAGGGACACACAGACTCTGTGCAGGATATTTCCTTTGACCACAGTGGCAAACTATTGGCCTCTTGTTCTGCTGATATGACCATTAAGCTATGGGATTTCCAGGGCTTTGAGTGCATCAGAACCATGCATGGTAAGGTATATAAAGGAGACTGATTTAGTGATTTATAAGATGAAGATGGATCAATTAATTTTTTTTGGTCTAGAAAACTGCTGATTATGAAAAGAGATGCAAAACAAGAACACTGTCTTAAAGGTACAGAAGCGATATCTTAACATTTTGGGTGCCTTATATAGATGTGTATGGTGGGTTTTTTCCCCCCATTACTAACTGTAATAGCATCTCCAATCTGAAATGTATGATGGTACTGGAAACTGTTTATTCCATATGGGTGGTTAGATGAAATGGCAGATGGATAGCTTTAGTACAGGCTGTTTCCAGGGCTCAGTAGGAATTAGGGTCATACCCTAAAAGAGTATGGTACAAAAACACTTGAAGCTGGTACTTCTTGGAAGAACAAGGAAGGAGTTGGCTTCTTTGCTCGATGTGCTGAAACTACCTTGCTCAGGAGTTTTTCCTCAATATTCTGTGTTGAATAAACTTATTTCCTGCTTTAGACGTATAAATTGTGTATGTGAAATGTTCACTTGTACAGTGGTGGATGAGCAGTCTCCCAGTCAGGATTCCAGAGATTCCATGGCATAATTTTTAAGTTTGAGATTAAAAGGCCACGTAGTGCTGATGACAGTTGGAAAGGCCACCTTTTACATTAGCAAGCTGAGAACAAATCTTTTTGGCTTACAGCAGTTTTAATCCTCTCTTACAGTGATTAAAAAAATACGAATGCTGCTGCTTCATCTCTGCTTCGGCTTTTTTGATATCATTCATTGCCTTAATGAGGAGTAGGGAATTAATTGTCATCCTTTAAATTTGGGGGAGACCTAAAGAATGGGGAAGGAGGAAACGGTTGCTAGCTGTCCAGAATTTGAAGGGGAGTATCTGCAGTTCTATAAAAACCAACTGAGCACTGCGACAGAGAAGAGAGATTGTGTCTACCTACAGTAGGTCAGGGAGAGGACTTGTTTTTTAGGCATTGCCTCTCTTCTTTCCTTGCTGTATGTCACTGACTTCTGTGGCTGCAGTATTTCAGTACCTCTCTATGGAACAGCCTCCACATGGAATGTGCTTGTAAACGGTAGAGAGTTATAACATGACAATAGATTAATGACTTTGCAGTTACATTTTGTTGAGCAGCCATTTTAATGATGAAATATGGAAAATGTGAGAAACTAAGTGCCTGTCAAAAACCTCAGAATACTAATAGTTTCATAGTTTCTAGGGTCGGGAGGGACCTGAGCAGATTATCTAGTCCAACCCCCTGCCATGGCAGGAAAGAGTACTGGGGTCAAACGACCCCAGCAAGGTGTACATCTAGCCTCCTCTTAAAAACCCCCAGGGTAGGAGCCTGCACCACCTCTCTTGGAAGTTGGTTCCAGACCTTAGCTGCCCTGAC